AAAAAACAAAATAAAATAATTAATTTCTAGATTTCCGAAAGATCCTGATGTTAAATAAATTTCTTCATTTTACAGGTCAATAAACTCATTTCGTACTGATAACGTCAACTACTAGAGATACCTCAAAAGATGGCAACGCGCTTGTGACTCCTGAGTTGCTGGCGTTCATGGGCAGCAGTGGTCGCTTTCCAAAAGGTGACCCGTCAGCTCGTCTAACCTCTAACATAAATCAAATGATTGCCGCCATGGTACGAAGCGAGAGTTCTTTTAACTCCGCCGTCTCCTCCTGCGAGCAAGTTATGCTTGCAAAGAAGATGGCAGAGCAGGACCGGGAGAGGTTTAGAACTCTCCCGGTGCGCCAGGCCCGGCAACGGGCCAGGTACGGCAGACGACACATAGGTGTTCCCACACAGGTCATTTACACGCTGTAGATGGCCCGAGGTACGAATCCCCGGCAACTAGTACCCGAGACGGCGTGCGGTTTTTGGTCGGTTCGAGTCCGACATAACCACTAGTTGGTGGTCCGGTCCGAGGGGATTGTATTGGTATTGGTTGTGGGCTTCGGTTTCCGCATTTAAACTCTAGAGTGCTCCTTTATGCGTCGAGGACTGGTTAGCAAGGTGAGCCAGCCAAGCTCCTTCCAGAAGCGCAGAAGCCTCCTTTGGCGTTCACAGACTTCTAGGAGCGATTTTGTATCGGGAATGATACTTGCCCGTTGTGGCCACTCCCTCGCATTCCAGGACTACGTGGGCGGCCGTTTCCTCTGCTTCCAGACATCCCCTGCACAGAGGGCTGTCCGTCGCATTGATGATGAATAGGTGTCGGTTCAGGCTAGGTGTCTTGTTATAGTTCCGACAACTATTCGGATTTCCAGGCTGCTAAGACTAATCAATCTGCAGATAAGTCGTGACTTGAGTCAGCACCAGTTTGGACTTAGTCTGTGCTTAGTCCGTCCGTCCGTCGTCACGAATCCGAGGGGATCTACGCACAGGAAAAAGGTAGGAAGGAACTAAGTGCATATAAATTATTTTAAATTTGCTGCTAAGCGTTCCGAATATTAGAGCAAATTCTCATTTTTACGTTTTTCAAGTATACTTTGTACAGGTTTAGTCACACCCGTAACTTCCGCAGTTTGTTTAACGGAGGTCATTGTTTTTTTTTTACTCCTTGTAGTGGTTCTGTTTTAAATAGTTATATTCCTACATTTAACCCTATTTTTCTGATCTGTCTTATAATATGGAGTTTCGTCTCGGATAAAGCGTAAGTATAAAGCATCAAAACAGATAACAAAAACAAACAAAACGGACAATAAACAAATAAAACAAATAACAATATTAACAGAAACTATAATCAGTCAGACCGAGATGCACGACTGACCTTGCAGTGGTGCCCCGCATCGGCGGCCACGTGACCCGCAACACCTTAAGATGCGCATGATCTATCCCTCTGATATCTAAAATTGTGTTATGCGGCGCGTACATTATCCATTTCTACGATCTGGCCAATTAATTAATTTGAAAAAAAATGACTAAATAGGTTAACTGTCGAACTTGTGACGCAGTTCATTACGCCAGTATGAGTTTTCAGTTCACGTTTACAATAATAATTCATTATGTCGTATGGGTGCTCATAGTAAATATATTTAAAAATTAACTACAATCATTTGTTGTGCTATAGGTATTATTAACTCATACATGCATAGGTGACTTTGTTATAAGAAAGAAATAGTTAAACATCTTACGGTGAAGCAAATAATATTTTAAAGTAAAAAAAGCGGTATCTTAGAAAAGTAACTTTATCATATTTGTTTCATAATACTAAATAAATGCAACTTTGTACGTGGTTTTGATAGTCTGATGGCAACTTACATAGACAAAGATTTGATAATTATACTTTTGATCAAGATAGGTACATCCAAAACATCTTTCTCATGATATTTATATTAGGTAATTAATAGAAAACTAGGCATATGTCTTACTGGCACAAGAAATGATGATACCATAAGTTACTGCTTATTCCACGTGACGTTACCGGTACTCGCTGGGATTTCCTTACTTGTCAAATTTTATTCTGACTTACATAGGTACTATAACATTTATGAAGACGTAGATAGCTATTACATTTACTATTACACAAATCTTTTTACAAAAAAAAACTCACATTAAATACACATAGAATCAACTACCATAGTCTGATAGAATCGACTTAGATGAAACAAATAAGTTACATGTGAATTAACACGCCATATAGATATTAATTAAAAACCTTGGATATATTCGTAAACGTAGACATTTAAACATCTATGGATATCTAAATACGAGACACCACAAATCACATTAATATCAATTATCAACATCCAAGGGAAGCATTAACTGACTAATGAATAATAAGTACCTACGATCTAAAAAGGAATGTAGATTCTTTATTACATTTTAAAGATACCTACCCATATAGGTGTGTATACATTTAATTCTTATTTTCTGGTTTTTACTACTAATCAAGTTCTCAAAAATAATCATAATTTATTCTGTTTACAACATTTTCAATGTAAATCATAATTCTGCTATAAAATTATAATGTACTTGTTTTCTTTTATGTCAAACAGATCACAATATTAAAGATTGTCATCTACTAAAGATGACATCATTTGTTTAATGGCACAGTATTTCATGGTTATACAACGTGTGATCTATCTTTTAACGAATCTGTAAACCACATATTCTGCACTTCATTTCTAGACGATTTGCGAAACATGAACAGAAAATATTCAGTGGTTTAGAAACAGGTCATTTTTTGTTTGCGTAATTTGCAACATCATGTGTAAATGCAGTCATAATACATTGACCTCAGGCGGCGATAAGTTGTATACGCGGCGCGGTAATCACACGCTGCCGCTTTTACTACACTCAAATCGAACGAAATTTGTTGATTATTGCGTCATCAGGATGAAGGCCACCGTCGAGTGCTATGCTGTTCTGTGTCCTTGTCGCTCTCATTGCACGTATAGTTCTTGTTCGTGTGATATATGTTTAGAAAAGTTTTGTTCTGTTAATGATTGTTTGGTCTTATTGCTGTCGTCATAATACACGGCAATGGTGTGAACAATTAATGTTATCATGTGCGCAAGATTTCGTGTTGTAACGAGTCCCGCTAATTTTATTTTTAAAAGTGTAGTGTGAAACTGAGTGAATTATCAGTCTTTTAATTTTATTGGGTTATCAGTATCAACATCCATAATGCCATGAGTGACCTTCACAGCCGCGGAATATCCTGGCATGATGTTAATTTACGGGGAACTTTATGAAAACGCATCTTTAGCTTTACGGACAGGTATGGAGTTAATCGTGTATGTCCTATAGACCGCCGAACTTTTGTAAGGGCGGTACAAACGTTACGAGACAACCAAAGTACCTACTTTTTCAAGGAGCGACACGTACTGCCGGGTCCGAAGCTAGTCGAGCATTCCCGAATTAAATAAAATCTTATTTATAATAAACTGATTTTAAAAAGCAAAGTCGCTTTATTGTTGCCCACTTTGCGACGCTTTCGTCTAAAGTTCAGCGACTCACGTTAACAATGGTTCTAATTCGGCAATAATTTTATTGCATTTATTTTGTTCTAAATTTGCATTTCTGTAATTTCGTACTATTTTTTTTTTTAATTTTAACAGACGTATGTTGAACCGTGTTATCTGTTATTTCATTTTTTGGCATAAGCTTTGTACCGCTCTTTGTATATAGGTTAGAATAATGTCTATTATACAGATATTACAGAAAGGTGTGGAACTATTTAAGTACATACTGTATAGGATAACAGTTCATATAAATGTGTATTCGTAATAATGACATGAAAAAATAAATTTCGTTTTCACCGATATACATCATATCTGAGTAATATTCGAAACTTAATGTTGCTGACAATAATCAAACACTTTCAGAATAACCAGCTGAGGCGATAAATTGGTTAACTTAGCATTTAAATTAAAGTATAATGAAATGTTTCTTGTTCTTCATACGTGCCTCAATCTATATCAAAATGTTAAGTTGGTTTGTGTACGCTTCAAAAACTCAACAAGTTCTGCGGCCATTGAACAGTTTTATGTTACTATTAGTTTATTTTTTCGTTTCTTGTCATATTGAATTTAAAGCTTAAAAATAAATTACAAACCTAAATAAAAGATGTTATCGTTTAACGTAACTTGGTAAAGATAAGGCACAGTAACCTATATCTCACTACTAATGATGGATGAACGATGATGAATGGCACCAGTAGACAAGGGCATAAGGTATATAGATCAAGACCCGTAAATATGACGAAACCTTTCTTTACTACAAAAGAAAACAATACGTACGTAATCTATCTGTAGGAGATTTTTTCGATTTCTCAAGAATTCCCACAGCAAATAGATCTTAATGTATCAAATCAATTTGAATTGAAACAGAAAGGCACACTGAATATTTTTACGTGCGAATAATTTTTAGGAAGTCCCTATAGGTTATTGTTATAGTCGTTAGTTATGTAAAGGGTTACACGAGTAAAACGGTGACTAGGTACTTTTTTAAATTAAAATTACTATTATTATACAAATTGTTAAATTACTTAGATTTTGTTTTAAATAGGGTTCAAAAATATAAACAATTTCAGATAGCCTAACAGCCTACATACCGTTTACCAGGCATTACCATTAGAGTAGGGCTACGCCCACAGCAAGTTTAATATTTAAATCTAAACTTAATCATGCCTGCACAAAAATAAACAAGAAAGCCTCAGAGAAATTTGTGAGAAAATGAAAATAATTTACTATTGTCTTACGTAAACTTACTAATAATATTATATACTTGACAACATAACCTACTGACTCAAGATGTTTTGTTTGCATAAGGTAAAGCTTTAAAAATACAGTAACTATCTTACAAGGCCCAACACATAACTACATAAAGACCAACATAAATAATTTTGTATACATCACAGAAGCGTTTTCGGTTGCCAATATCAAGTTTTCAACGTTCTCGACGTGCCCGTTTAGCGCGTGCTGTCGGTTTAGGTTTTTTGGAGTTATCGACGTCTCGTTTCTTTGATGGCCCTTGTGGCCGTTGCAGTTGGCTCTGTGCAGTCAACTGAAGTTGAAGAGCATGCGTATTTAACCTTTCAGATAGAAGGAGAGATTTCAATGCAGCCATTTTATGACTGTATAATGTCACCCATGGCCGGCTGTTAACTGCAGCCGTTAGTTGTTCACGTACACTCAACTCTGTATTTTCAGAGTTATTATTCCATTGGCTGTTTTCACCAATGGACAAAGTATTATCTGTACTTCTTTCAGTTTTTAGCGAATCTTTATGTTCATCTGTATCTGGTTTACAAATTATGTTGACTTGTGCTCGTACTTCCGCATCAAATTTTGAGATAGTACTTACAAGAGGTTTTGCCCAACCGATATGCAGTATAGGAGTCTGACTACCTTCTTCCCACTTGCAAATACCGTCATAAAATCTGAAATTAAAAATGTAATTAATGCATCAAATAGTTTTATATTTCTAAGAGAGAAAAGAAGATCGTAAAGGGCAAAGATGACCTACCTTAGAAGTGAAGCAAAGCACTCAGGATCTTTGAGAATGGATCTAGCGGAATGCCCTGAACTCTCCGCCTTCATCAATTGTGGAATTACTTCGTTGGCTATTTCTGAGAATTCTTTGTATATTTCCTCGTCATCGCGAGAATAATTGTAACTGAAAAGTTCAAATACAGTCATAAAACATTAAATCGTATACATGTTTAAAAATGCATAGAATAAATGTTTTATTTATGTACATATATTTTTATATTACTAAAAAGACTTAGTAACATGGTGTGCATCATGTTGTTTACAGACACCTCCAGATAAGCTTGTGTTTGTGTTAGGAAGTATGTTCATGTCGGTTGTGTACTGTATGCGGTTCGAATCCGCAACCAGTTGAGAGCATCATTGCAACTCCGAAACACAGCAATCATGCTGCCACCCTTTGAATATTTGTGCAAAATATTCACATTTATCACTTAAAAGTATTGTATAATTTTTATTTTTTAAGTTTTAAAAACATTTTCGTTTATTTAATCAGGTATAAAGTCGATTGCATATATGATATTAAATGTATTGTTACGAACCTTCCAGGGTCTAATATACACGGTGATTTTATAGGCGTTTTGGAAACGAAACATTTTAATTTGGAATCATCTATAGTTCCAATATGATTAAATCAATTGTAATGTTGTCTAAAAAATAGTTTCAGTTTTAATATTCATTTTTACTGGATCGACTTGGAAAGTAGTAATAGACTGATCATTCATTCATTATCTTATATGAATGAAACACGTTTCGGCGGCCGCTGCGCACCGCTGACGCTAACAGCAGCTGATAAAAGTATACCTATAGGCGCGAGCTAGCGAGTACTTACGTAGATAGACTCCAATTTGTCCTTCATGCTTTACACGGGCTTAGGACCGTCGGAAATACCTATTTTATTTAAACTTCTTTTCGATCATTAACCACGATTGTTCTTTTCACAACAAATCAATTTATCAACGGACTGTAGGTATAAATATTTCAGGCGTATTTAAAAAATCGGAGCTATCTACAGAATAATTAACTTACATACCTATTTACATTTCTCTGTATCGAAGGAACTGCTCAAAATGGAGTCCGCTGCATTCAATACACAAACGTCCACGTTTCATGCAATTGTTTTTTAATTTTCTTAATGTGTCTCTATCACTTTTCACTTTATCAACAGCGTCCACTATCGCAATGCGTAAATTATCACGGCTTTCATATTCCCATGTATAAACAAGTCTTTTTATTTCCGACCATAAGAAAAAATCCAGAGGCGTTAAGTCCGGGCTTCTAGGTGGCCAAGGCACTGGCCCTCCTCGACCTATCCACCGATCACTAAACTCATTGTCCAGGTATGCACGCACTACACTCCGGCGAATAATAATTTTAACGTCCTTGACCTTGCGCGTGAGTAGGCGCACGAAATTGTCCGTGGTCGAGAAGACGTTGGGTTGCAGCCAAGATGGTAGGTGTAGAGGGAATTTGAGGGCTTTCAATTCCACGTAGCCGTAGTGCATTTAAATGCTCCGGCTGGGAATACAAACGCCGAGCCTCTTCCAAGTTGTAGTTGGCAGTAGCGTACAGCTGTACCATTGCCAAGAAGTATTCCACGTTTGAAAATTTGTACTGTCGACTCATTTTAGCGCTAATCAATGTAGCGTGCCCTCACGATGTTATGGTATTACTGACCGACTGAAAGCGAAGGACGCCTCACGATTACAGGTGAGTACCGCGCATGCGCCTACGGGGCAGACGTCATTGGTTGGACGACTCCGGCGCAACTCGGTAGCTTTGTTTTTATTGGCGAATACGATTTTATGTGACTCGATATTAAAACGCATAGTATTTGTATTCGTAGTATTTACCTACGTGTGATTGAATAGCCCTACTACTGGTTCTCACTTTTTCTCTGTAAACGATATGAATATCGACTTTGATGATAAAACATATATATATTTTATTAAATTAACGTTATATATAGCTTCTGTTACTGATAAATAATTCAACATTTTCTTTTCCAAAACGCTTTCAAAATCACTGTGTATACGAGAATACCGAGCATATTCTACAATCAATGCAGGGCTACGGGGTCATGAAACTTATAGCTATACACATAATGTCGGTAATAGATTGTCGTCCGAAGTTGCTTGTTTAGAGAGAACGTTGGGTGCATCCAGTCCAGTTCGAGAAAAAGAGCGATAATTTTCGAAGTGATTGAAAGCATTTGCTTTCGGCTATTTAGCCGAGACCGTAATTACTTTCACATCCAACGCAAATGTTTCGCCAGGTAAATATGAGCTATGGACCAATGTGTAAACACCTACACAATGTTAGCCTACAATTGCGCATTGCGACGCATGGCCCAACACTGGCCAATGTGTGCTGGAGCCTTTAAGAGGCGCGTCCCTAAAAAACGCGCGAACAAGCACTTACTATTAAAAAAAATAAAAAAAGAACTCGCTTTATAAAATGACACTATAAAAAAAAATCAGTTGCTCAATAGATGGGTCTACATTTTTACCGCGTTAAACTTTTAAAATAACACTTTATTTTTGAGAAAAAAAATCCTCAACATTGATCAAAATCATCGAAATCGACCTTTGCTATTTAAAATATATATCTGCTATTTCATTGTTCTATTTGAAAACAGTTTTTTTTAATCGCGAGAAAAAAGTATGAGCAATACATTTACCTTTACAGTTTTTTACTAATTCGGACCAAAAAGCCATAATCTAAGCTCGAACATCATCCATTTTTTAGCGCGAAAAGATCCCCGTTGTCCATACATTTTAGTACGTAGAAATTGTCTCCCGTAATTTGGAATAAATTACATTATACGCGAGCAAAAACTCCAGTGCCACTCAAATAACCAAGGTGATCGCACGTCCGAACGTAGTCCGCGTCGAGCTCTGTAGTTCCGCGACAAATCTATTGTTTGGACAAGCATAAGGGTGGGTTGTGAGTGTCGGACTACTGCTAATTTGAATTCTTCGAGCAAATAGACGAACCAGGAATGTGAGTTTTATTTTGTATTTCTTACGAATTATATATCAAATACAAATGTTAGTACTTATTAAAATCGTAACTTATTTTACGACCTATTTCAGATAGATATGGGAAACCGTAAAGAAAATTATTATAAACAAAAAAAAAATAGAGGAAGATTTAAAAAAAAACAGTAAGTATCCATAATGTACTTACTTTATGCCTGACCTTAAAATGTTTTAAATAATTTTGTATAAGTTCAAAAGAAAAATCATTAAACCGTAAAAATGCGTGGGTTGCCAGATCTCAATTGTTGTAAAAATATTTTATTGTTAGATATTGGTAAAAATAAAGTTATTATATTATAAAAAAATCTTAAAAAGCACTTCACGCTCTATTACGCTAAAATGGATAAGTTAGTGAAAAACGTATTATGTAAAGATATTTCCAGATGAATACAGTAATAATAATTGTTACAGGTTAAAAGAAGTTGCAATACAGGAAAGCAAAAACTTGAAAGACGATACATGCACTGTAGCTGTAAGTGTAGTTCAAAATATCCACTTCACCTAAAAAGAGTACTACGATCGAATATTCAAAAGATTACTAAGTAATACTACTCGTATATATACATTTCAGGCAACGTCGGATAAAAACATCTCAGAACTTATCATTGATGAAGCAACGCGAGTTCCATTTCAGGAAATTCAAAACATACGCGATTCTATGCCTTCGGCACATGTAAGTACTGCTAACTTATTTGACCAAAAAATCTAGTAGTCTAATAGGAACGAAAAGCATCTTCATTTGAATACAATTTAAAGAAGATCACAAAGTAATAAAATAATATCATTTCAGACTTCGTCTGAACGGAATACTCCACAGCTTTTTATTGAAGAAGCACAAGATAACGAAGAGTTTAAAGTAGATGGGCGCAGAGTGATTGACTTCATGTACTTTTATGAGGAGTTGCACAAAATCGCCAAACACAATTCACCTCTAGGTTGTAATTTCAGCCATTTACAACTTATAAAAGAACAAAAAAAAGGTTTCTATTCCAAATTCACTTTTCTCTGCAAAATGTGTAATATCGAGTTACATGTAATGAATTGTAAATTAAATAAAAACAGTAAAGATCTCAATCTTAACGAAACAGCAGTGTCTAGTTTTATGTCAATAGGCGCTGGTTATGTAGCGTTAGAACAGGTATCAGCTTCTCTCGGGATACCATGCATGTCAAAAAATCTTTACGTCAAATGTCACACCAAGGTTTGTGAACTTTGGGAATTAGCAAAACAGAAGAGCATGGAAGAAGCTGCAAAGGAAGAATACGATTTAGCCATACAAAACGGTGACGTAGACGCTAACGGAGTACCAATGATTACGGTAGTGGCAGACGCGTGCTGGTCTAAAAGATCCTATAGAAAAAACTATACAGCCTTATCGGGTGCTGCTGCAATTATTGGATACAGAACAAAGAAAGTCCTATATATGGCAGTAAAAAATAAGTACTGCATGATCTGTGCTAGAGCGGCGAATCGAAATACTTCTTGCCCAGATCACGTTTGCTTTAAAAACTATAGTGGTTCCTCAACTGGAATGGAGGCTCTTGCAATTACAGAAGGTTTTAAAAGTTCCATGGAAATGTATGGTATCATATACTCCCAATTAATTGCTGATGGAGATTCCAGTACTTACAAAAGTATACTAGATGCTAATCCTTATCATAGTTTAATTGTGGAGAAAATAGAATGCACCAACCATTTACTTCGCAACTACTGCACAAAGTTGGATGAACTTACGAAAGATACTAGGCACCCGTTGCATTTACGCAAAGTTTTGTCCCAAAGTATTTTACGATTAAGACGTTCAGTGACTGGTGCCGTCAAGCACAATAATTCTAAAAAGGAAAAAACTTTCGATGAAAAAATAACCGATCTCAAAATAGATTTACTTAATGGACCAAATCACGTTTTTGGAAACCACTCAACATGTAAGCCATACTATTGCAAACATGTGAACAGAGACACAAATTGTGAGATTGTTGATAAAAACTTAGTGCCAGAAATGAAAACCTGCACATTATACAATGCAATTACGAAACTAGTTTCAAGGTTAGTTAATAATTCTAAAAGCTTAATTTACAGCGTAAAC